TGATTTACTAACAGTGCAGGTTTCGACGGTAGCTTTGGAATCCGCCTTCAGCACAGCAGGACGTTTGATCGACGACCACAAGACATCGTTAGATCCGTATACTGTACAGGCGGTGATGTGCTTACAAGATTGATGGAGGTACAAGAAGAGAACGCAAGACATATATCGACTGGCTGGAATTGAAGATAAGCAGATAGATATAAAGATTAAATAATATTCATCAAATTGTATTTTTTATTTCTTAGTTAAATTTTGTAATGAATTATTTTAGAAACAGTTGCAAATGATAGTGATATAGGTGAGTAGGTACCAACCTAGTTGGGATGTACTCATCTATTATGATGCGACGACTTCCGAAATAAATTTACTTGTAAATAATTTACTGATTATTAATAAAAAAGTTATTTTTATCATTTATCTTTTTTATAATTTTTATATTTGTAATTTATGTAATTTCAAGTGATTAATAATATTATTGTTTTTATTAACATTTTGTGTAAATTTTAAATGTAAAATTGGAGTTTTAAAGAGATTAAAAAACCGGGCCAGACCCGATTTTTTATATTTGTAATTTATGTAATTTTAAGTGATTAATAATATTATTGTTTTTATAAGTGGAGCTCGGCCCACTCAGGCCCTGGCCCAGACCCGGCCCGGGCTCCGATTTTGCTCGGTTCAGACCGGATGGACACCCCTATTGATATGTATCATTTCTTCATAGTTTGACATGTAACGAATAAAGTTGGTCATTTTTCAGTTAGTTTGGCTCACAATGAGTCAACAACTATCCTTTGATATCAAAATGAGCCTTTCATGTTGGCTCGTGTTGTATTTAACGATTTAAAGTGTGAATACCTAATAACCTTTTTGGATGGAGGGTAGAGAGGAAGAGAGGAAAAGAAATGTAATTTTAACCTTGTTTGGGAGTTGTATTTAAGAGAGTAGATGGGGGTGGGGGGGGGGGGCCACAAAATGTTATTACACCCCAAATTGAGGGGTGGTGAAGGGGAAGTGAAAGAAGGAGAATTTTCCCCATTCCTTCTCCTTCCTTCCGTTCCCTATTATGATGTGTTTGGGAGTTTACTTAGGAAGGGGAAGGACCATTAGAGCATCTCCAACAGTTTCTCCAAAATTTTCTTCAAAATGGGGAAGCAAAAGTCATATTCTCCAACTAATTTTTACATCAACTCCAACAGCTTCCCCATTTTGAAGAATCCATTTTTTTCCTCCAAAAATTTGGAGAATGCTGCAGATTTGGGGAAGCTTCCCCATTTTTTCTCCTCCATCCCTATTTTGGGGAATCTGTTGGGCCAAAAACCTAACTAAATTCTCCAAAAATGAGAAATGGGGAAGCTGTTGAAGATGCTCTTACACCCCAATTTGGGATGTAACAGTTTGGGCCAAATTTCCCCTCTATTCCCCTCCTCTACCCTCCAAAATAAAACTCCCAAACAAGGTTAAAATAAAATTTTCCTTCTCTTCCTCCTCTCTACCCTCCATCCAAACAGGCTAAGTGAACTCTCGAACAAATCATAAAGTAAATTTGTTGTTTATTAACTGAGGTGGAAAAAAAGGGAAAAAAAGAAAAAGAAAAAAAAGAAAGGGACAAATTTTCAAAACCAACCGTTTTAGGAATTTAATTGCAAAAAACGATCGCTTTCGATAATAATTGCAAAAACCGACCTGTTTTCAGCCCAGCGCTGAAAACAGGTCGGTTTTTGTAAAAAATTCTCCGAAACATCACGGGAGTTCAACTCCCGTGAAGTTTATGGAGAAATTAAACTTCACGGGAGTTGAACTCCCGTGAAGCTTAATTTCTGCTTAAAACTCCACGGGAGTTGAACTCCCGTGGAGTTTTAAGCAAAATTAAGCTTCACGGGAGTTCAACTCCCGTGAAGTTGCAGTCCCAATTTCCCAGAGAACCGAGATCGGTTCTCTGGGAATGTTTAACTGTAACTCCACGGGAGTTGAACTCCCGTGGAGTTTTAAGCACAAATTAAGCTTCACGGGAGTTGAACTCCCGTGAAGTTTAATTTCTCCATAAACTTCACGGGAGTTGAACTCCCGTGATGTTTCGGAGAATTTTTTACAAAAACCGACCTGTTTTCAGCGCTGGGCTGAAAACAGGTCGGTTTTTGCAATTATTATCGAAAACGGTCGTTTTTTGCAATTAAATGTTTAAAACGGTTGGTTTTGAAAATTTGTCCGCCGAAATTATAATGTCAGTAAGTGTGTAATATGCAACATCCTTAGTGTTTAGAGTAACAGAAAGAAGAGAGGAACGAAGGGAATCTAGCAGATGAAGGGTTAAAGACTTAATTGGTTTTTAATGTTTAGAAGAGTCTTCTTCGAGTGGGATTGTGGATTGGAGCTTGTGAAGTAACTTTTGTGTTTTCATATGTATCGATTGTTGATGGAGGCCCAATCTCTCTTGAAGCTTTGAGTGTAATTGTATATTGTTCTCTTCTTGTTTTTTTTTTGGTAAATGAAAAGATTTTATTCATCCACCAATGTGAAAACTTGAAAGTACATCAAGAATCTCTTACAATTTGAGATATCCAAAACCGAAACCTGTAACTAAAGCTCAAAGAAACAAATTTATATACAGAGATTTACAAGGATAGTAACCATTCTCTATTCTCAACTGGAATTTGAGTATTCAGATTTGTGATCAAAATATCCATCTTTATATCTTTAACCAAACACTCCACGCTTCTGTTTTTATTATGAAAAATCCTGGCATTCCTTTTAAT